TGCTCAGACTGTGTGTGTTAGATTTCAAGGGAAGTTGGGGAGAACATCTACCGTTGGTAGAATTCGCTTACAACAATAGTTATCAAGCTAGCATTGGCATGGCGCCGTACGAAGCCTTGTATGGAAGGAAGTGCAAATCGCCGATATGTTGGACGGAAGTGGGAGATAAAGCTCTGATTGGTCCCGAGCTAGTCCAAGTTACAACCGAGAAGATTAAGCTCATTCGTCAAAGGATCAAAACTGCTCAGAGTCGACAGAAGAGTTATGCCGACCAGAGAAGAAGAGAGTTGGAATTTAAAGTTGGGGATCATGTATTTCTTAAAGTTTCGCCAATGAAAGGAGTTTCTAGATTTGGAAGGAAAGGTAAGTTAACACCTCGTTACATCGGGCCGTTTGAAATTCTTGAGAAGGTTAACACAGCTGCCTACAGACTTGCTTTACCACCAGAACTGAGTCAAGTTCACAATGTATTCCATATTTCGATGTTGAGGAAATATATTCGGGATCCGCTGCATGTGATTGATTATTCCGGGGTTGTGGTTAATGAAGATTTAGGCTATGAGGAGAAGCCAACGAGAATTATTGGCAGACAAGTGAAACAGTTGAGGAGCAAATCTATACCAATGGTGAAAATTGAATGGAAAGAGCATTACGGCAAGGATGCTACTTGGGAAATGGAAGGAGAGATGAAAATTTGTTATCCGGAGTTATTTATGGAGCAAGGTAATTTAAGTTTGGGGACCAAACTTCTTTAAGGAGGGTGGGATGTAGCAACCCTCATCTTACACTAGTCATACTTGCATACATTTATGTGTAATCTTGTCTTGTTTTGCTTGAATGCATTACGGCAAGGATGCTACTTGGGAAATGGAAGAAGAGATGAAAATCTGTTATCCGGAGTTATTTATGGAGCAAGGTAATTTAAGTTTGGGGACCAAACTTCTTTAAGGAGGGTGGGATGTAGCAACCCTCATCTTACACTAGTCATACTTGCATACATTTATGTGTAATCTTGTCTTGTTTTGCTTGAATGTTGCTTGCATGCTTTGTTATTGTTTGGTGTGTTACCGAGATCATCCTAAGCCTAATCACCTTTGAACCCTTTTACACTTGGAACCACTCTGATTGACCTCCTTTTTCACCCTGGCATATTGGCCGAGATGTCCCTATCTAGGCCGAGGTGTACAGCACCAAGGCCGAGATGTGTATTATCTAGGCCGAGATGCTTATCCTTATACCTAGAGACCTTGTTGCTGGAATGGTACGACCTAGGCCAAGGTGTGGCACAGCTTAGTCAAGTGTTGTCCTTCCAAGCCGATATTATTTTTGCCGAAGTCTTGCCCTTAGCCGAGATCATTACTTACCGGAGTGCCTTGCCGTGAATCTTGTTAGATACGCTTTGTCATAGCCTTGTCTTGTCAATCTATCACCTTTTTTAGGAGAACCAACCAGCCGTTGCCACGTGTCCAAGCTGAGTGTTAAATCAGCCGGCAGAGAGAGAAACCTATCATTTGCTATATCCTTATTTTTTAAGAGGAGAGAGAAGCTCTAGAGGAAGAAGAAGGAGTTCTTGAACGAGAGAGTAGACTTCAAGCTTGATCCCTAGAGATTAAACCGTTAGATTCGAGTTTTGAGGTTAAAATCTTGGTTTACTCTCGTTGTTCTTATTGGTTCTCTAGCTACATTGCATGATCGAATCTGTGCTGCATGCCATGCATTGATTTAAAGTTGGTTTTAAAAAGAGAAAATAGTGTTCATGTGTTCTTCATGAAAAGTCTTGTTTTGATCCGGAAGTTTATATCAGAAACCATGTTATTGTGTTTGTTTTCCCATGATCTTCTTTTATGGGTATCCAGGTCCATGTTTTCAAACTCATAGCATAAAATCCCAGACCTTGTAATAACAAGTTTTGATCTTTGCATTCATCATGTTCATGTTCTTCATGTTCTTGAGCAGAGGGAAACCCAAATTTTCCCGACATCATTTCCTTGACTGTGGCCATCAGGACCACACCTCGGCAAGAAGGTGTGGGACCTCGGCCTAGACCTGGTTGGTACCCAGCATGTTTTCCCGAGATGAGAAACAGTGTTTTGTTTTGGTTTGCCTTGGCTTTGAGAGAATGTCGAGATCATTTGCATTCATGTAAAGTTCGTTTGAAAGTGCATTCAATAAACTTGCCGTGTGTTTGTAAGACTTGGACTTGCCTCGATCCCGACGTTTGAAGAACTATGTGAGTGGTATTTTTAATAAAGATATGTTATAAAGCTTTGATAAAACCTTGTTTTGCCTTGTTCGGAAAATATTTACAAGCATGAATGATTATTCCTAGTTGCAATAAATACTATCTTGTTTTGATGACAATCTTAGAAAGTCCGTATGTGCTAGGGGACTATAAGCATTTGTAGCACAATCTTGGAAAGTCCGTACGTGCTAAGGGACTCTAAGCATTTGTAGCACAAGTCCTTAGTGTCCGGGGACTATAATGCAACGACACCATTGTTTTGAGATCTCGCTTGTCTTGTCTTGTCTTGTCTTGCCTTGCCACCGACAGTTTTACCGCGTGGGTTTGCTTGTCTGGAATGTCATCCTTTGTATTACATTGATGCTAGTAAGCATCCCTTGAAACTTGAAAAACCCACTAGATGAACTTGGTTCATCCCTTGATTTCATACTAGATATGTTATGTATTGTTTTGCTAAGGATCTTGAATATCAGTCATGCAAACCCCTTTATTACTTATACCATTCACTGAGTATCCAAGCTCACCCTCTCTATATATATGTAGGTGATGAGCAGGACGGCAGCGACGCCTAGATGTGTTTTGGATTCGTGTTTTGCAACATCTTGAAGATCATGCTTCTTAGCTTGCATTTTATTGTATTCTGTATATGATGGCTTGAGAAGCCTTTTGGTCAAAATGTATTTTTGTACTTCATTGTATTTGTATTTAAGTTTCAAAAGCTATGTAAAGATGTATGCTTTTCCATAGACTTATGCACAGCTCTTATGGACTAATTAGATTTACTTATATTGCTTCCGCACTTGTAAGCCCTATATATTATACTCTGATTAGGTGTGAATTTTGAAAGCTGGCCTTCGGTAATCCCAGATTACTGGCCATCATGGCACCATTCTACTAGGGGCGGAATGGGGTCGTGACAGATTGGTATCAGAGTACAAGTTCCTATTAGTACGTTATTCATACACTTTGAGTCCTAAAGAGCATAGGATGTCCCTTAGAATAATGTTAGGATTGCATCATGTTGCTTGCTGCTTGACAAGGTGTGCATCATCTTGGCATGGTCATTTATTACTTGCATGCATGTTTACTTGCTCATTTTGTTTAAGAGTCACATTTTGCATACCTCTAGTATCATGAGAAGGGGTAGACCACCAGTTGGCCGAGATCAATCAGAAGACAGAATGGACAGACTAGAAAGATTAGTTGAAGGTCTAGCCCGTGAGTTGAGGCAAATGAGGCAACAGAATGCTAGTGCTACCTCCACCCAGGCCGAACAGACCAATGGATGACAGGCAATTCCGCCTCCACCTCCTCCAGTACCACAGGTGCCTCCACAGCCAGCCTTGTATGGGGATGGAACGATGACTTTGATTAAGGAGTTCAAGAAGATGAACCCGCCAAGATTCCAAGGGGGTATAGAGCCAATGAAAGCCGAGGCGTGGGTTTTAGGAATGGAGAAGTTGTTCGAGATTTTTCCTAGCACCGATGCTCAGAAGGTGGCATTGGCAGCATTCACGTTGGACGACGACGCTCGAAGATGGTGGATGATGACTCGAGAAGGTAATCCTGACTTAACTTGGGCCAGATTTTTGGAATTGTTCTATAACAAGCACTTTCCCCTTAGTGTTCGAGATCGCAAGACCACGGAGTTTCAGACTCTGACGCAAGGAAACAAGACAGTGGCAGAATATGATCGTGCTTTTACCGAGTTGGCGAGATACGCGCCTCACATGGTCGAGGATGAATATAGAAAAGCTAGGAAGTTCGAAAGCGGACTGCGTGGACTGATTCAGGATCGAGTTAACATGCTCAACATGCCGACTTACGCTGGGATATTAGACAAGGCTATCCTTGCAGAAGCTAACTTGAACCGATATCAGAATTCGGGAGAGAACCAGAGGAAGAGACAGAACTATGATAGTCGCCGAGTTCCATTTAACGACAAGAAGAGAGCGAACGTGGGCAGCTCCAGCAATTCGAACCAGGAAGGAAATGCTAAGCCGACGTGTGCAAGTTGTGGGAAGCTGCATTCCGGAGTTTGCCGTTGGGCGTCCGGAGCCTGCTTTGAGTGTGGTGAAATGGGTCATCGTGTGAGAGACTGTCCCAAGTCAAAGATTGATGATGGTAAGAAGAATGGGAGCACCTCGGGCTCTGCACCTGGAAGCAACATCGGAAGGACACAAACGAGACAAGGCAGAGTTTTCGCTCTAGTGCCAGGAGACACCCAGAATGCAGAGACAGTAGTGTCAGGTATACTCCCAATTTGCTCTCAAGATGCGTACATATTGATTGATTCGGGTTCTACGCATTCGTTTATATCTACTAAGTTTGCCGAGAAGTTGAATAGAGAACAGGAACCCCTTGATTATGTGTTATATGTGTCTACTCCATCTGGGAGAACTATGATTGTTGCATCCATCTATAGGGCGTGCGTTGTTGTGATTGAGGGTATAGAATTACTAGTCGATTTAATGCCGTTAAACATGACTCACTTTGATGCCATATTAGGAATGGACTGGTTAGTAACGTATCATGTATCTATTAATTGTGTCTCGAAGAATGTCACACTGAGACCCCCAAACCAAGCCGAGGTTATTTTCCATGGTAAAGGAGTAGTACCCCCACCTTACCTGATCTCATCCATGAAAGCCTTTAAACTGATCCAAAAGGGGTGTCAAGGTTATCTGTGTACTAAGTGATCTGAATGGAAATGTTAACCTAGCCGACATTCCAGTTGTCAATGAATTTCCCGAGGCACCAAAAGGAGGGAATTTTAGTGATCTATGTCTTCTTCTATCAACAACCTCTGGTTATATAAACAATTCTCTCATGTAGAGGCAGGCATATATTGAATCTCCCAGACGTTCTTCATGCTAAAAATTCTATCTCAGCGGTTTAGAAGGTACCCGAGCATGACACTGACAAGTGCCACCATACAAACAAATAGGAAAGGAAATCCTGCATGAACTTTTCGTACAACTCTCTTGCTCATCAACAAAGTCTGCAAAAGCAATTAAGCCAATGTCAAGAAGCAAATCCAACAAGTATGTCTCCAAAAGTGAAAGTCGTAGAAAAAAAGCAAAAATGCAAAAGCGATGCATTGACTATCTTATAGATTTGCTAGAAATTTTCACCCCCCACTTGGGTTATTTGTTTTGAGAGTGAAAATAGCACAAAATACAAGAGTTTCAAAATGAAAATTTTGGAGATCAAGAAAGAACTAGAAACCGATTACCATACAAGTTTGTTAAGCAAAGGTCCATTGAAGAGGTCTAAAGATGTTATTAATGACTATTTTCACCTATTGGTTCTTATGGTATTCTAAGAAAATGGTTCTCTATCCAATACAGATACTCTTTATGCAACTTTTGCGAGTACAAACTAAGCCACTGGATCTTGGATTCATAGGTAGGAAAGGGTTTCAATGGCTAATTGGGTTTATAACTCATCTTAACGGCCATTGCTGTTAGCCTTCATTTAAGTTGCTCCCAAGAGCAATATCAACAGTGTCTTTAAATAAAGACAATATAATGGAACTCCATTTAAATATCATAGAATAGAGTAACCGGGCCCTTAGATACACTGCTGGTGTACATGAAAACACTAAACAAGAAGAGAATGCAATGATGTAGTACCAATTCTTGCCGTAAACTTTCCCTCTCTTGAGCATTCAATCTCCTCTCCTCTGTTAGTTTTGAAATGATAACTTCAGCCTGCAAAAGTAAATTCGGAAAAATCATGAGCACTGTTCTTTGAACATATAGCAGTGGAAAGGCAATCATAAACCACTTTCTAAATCCATTGTGTGTATTAAATTTGGAAATTTAACAGAATGTTTCCGTCTTCAAATTATTGACCATTCCATTTTATCCTCAACTGGCACGCATTCTCATCCTACAAAGTGTTCACAGCAGGAAATGAAGCCAAGTGCATAATTGATGCTGAAGCATTTTTAATGTGGTAAATTACACTTTGCGCTTATGTACTTTACCTCAAATCTCATTTAGTACCTGTACTTCTAATTGTGGCAGTCGAAAACTAACTTTTGGTCAAGTTGCAATGTCAAACCTCGGTCAATGGTTGCCAGTAAATTTGACTGGAATTAGACATGTAGCAGCACATGGCCTAATTTGGCAAATTAAATCTCCCAAGTTTTTTTTTTTTTTATGAAGATTCACTTTATTCACTGATATTTGCTTCGATGGAAACTTTTTTAATTCACGTGACATTCATCTGGCCAGTTTTAATCATTTTCTATATGGAACTTGACAGGAGTATCGATATTGATATTGAAACTTGACAAGAAGCATAAGGTTTTGACTGTCACAATTGGGAGTGCAAGGACCAAAGTGAAATAAATATGGGGTAAAGTGCAAGGCTGTATGGTATAATATACTCATCTTTATGGAATCTCAAGCCAATCTGTCCACAAAAAAACGGGCAACCAAGTCCACAAGGATCCCACAGTTTATCATATCTTTCACATGGATTGAAAATAAAATATATCTAGAAGAAATTAGGTATAGCTTCCATATTAACAAGCTCTCATAAATGTATCCCTCATATAAAAAAAAACAAGAGACGTTGGAGGCATAAAATATCAAACTAGGTATACCTGCCAGAGAAGTCTCATTAAACCTAGGTACCCTAGCAACTAACCAGCAAACAAGGAAAGCCACATGATTAATACAAGTAGTTGGAAACCAGAAACCCGGGAGAAAACTGACCTCACTTAGTTTTGATTCAAGTTCATTTAGTTTTGACTTCATTTCCGAAACATCTTTAACCAACTTCAGCTCCTCCATATCATTCATTGTTTTATGTTCTACATCTGTTGTTGGCTCATCCACATCCATCCTTGTTTTATGCTCTACATCTGTTGTTGGCTCATCCACTTCCTTCCTTGCTTTATACCCGACATTCATTAGAGGCTCATCCGCATCCTTCCTTGTTTTATACTCTAAATTCTTTGCTGAATTTGCCTCCTCACTATTTTCCACTTTGGACTCCACATCCTCAGTAACCTGACACAAACGAAAAATCAAAATCACAAATATACTATATTTTCAGATACAACACCAAGGGAAAAGAACTTCATTATAATATGACAGATAGCTTGAGTCATATGCTGAATCCCTAACTCAAATCTCTTTCCTAACTGGTCAATTTCCAGAACATAATGAAGCTCCAATGTAACCACTAGATTCACATGTACAATTCCCCGAATAGACTAACATCATGTTGATGTCCACATATAAAATGTACATAGATGAGCCTGATATCAAAGTAAAAGGAGAATCTCTTACTGTGTGACGTTGGGTAAGGCTTTCGACTTTCCTCAGCACTTGATCTTTCAGTATTGAAGGTTCATAAGCCGGCACCTGTTTCAACGTTCTATTGATTGGTGAAAGTACCGGAGAATTGGGGGGACTGACAAGGACCACTTTCAGCTTGTTCTCTTCAACGTATCGGACATCATCTTTGGCAAACTGCCAAACTAAACCGTGAGAAACCAGAATAGTAAATCAGGACCAACAACTTTATATACAACTACAAAACAACTTACAATGCTAGGAGTAATATCATCATCACTGGTCCCTGCAGGAACAACTGTGCTCTGAACTAAAAACTTGTCTTTGCATATCATGTCAGGAGGAGCCACCCTTTGTGCTTGCATCATAACTACATAACACCAAATTTGTCAACCATGAACAACCATAGACAAGGACAACAAACATTTAGATAGTATGATGAATGTAGTAGATGTGAACACAATATTTGAATGTATCAACATTTTCTAAAATCTGCAATAATATATCAATTTTATTTCAGATGGCAGTTTAAAGATTGTGTACATTTAATAATGTGCAAAGAGATTACTTTTGCTGCCTTTCTTTTCTTAATTTTCCTCTTTTTTATCTAAGGACATTTCCCAGTGAAGGGAAAATAATGATATACTAATCTGAGTCTATAAATTTATCTCTATCCACGAAAATGAAAACTGTCCTTTTACCTTAACCAAAACAAAAAGAATCCAAAAAATTGCCTCCGATAATGCACAAACATTGTAAGAAAAATTGGAGGGCCCGAGAAGCTCTCGGAAGATCATCTGAATGAGTATTGGTTGGAGCTAGAGGGACAAAAAGTTAAAGCCATGCCCTTTCCTTCCTTTCCTAACAAAATTCCATAAAAATCCATAAACTTGATAACTTTTTTCATTTGGTCCAATGCTCCCAACACCCCTATCATCAGTCTATTTATCAACTAGCATTCCAACAACAATGATGCCTAATATGATCACCCCAGGATAACCCCCTATGCTTTTAAACAAAAATAGCTTGGCATGCAGCCTTCTATGAAACATCTGCACAATTTTAATTCAGGGTTTGAATTATCACTCCATGACAATAGTCTACATGCATATTCAAGATCATCTGTCCTAAAATAAGAAATCCTAAAATAAAGCACAAATAAATAAATCAATTCCAAAAACTGGTCTTTGCATATCATGTCAGGAGGAGCCACCCTTTGTGCTTGCATCTTAACTACATAACACCAAATTTGTCAACCATGAACAACCATAGACAAGGACAACAAACATTTAGATAGTATGATGAATGTAGTAGATGTGAACACAATATTTGAATGTATCAACATTTTCTAAAATCTGCAATAATATATCAAGTTTATTTCAGATGGCAGTTTAAAGATTGTGTAAATTTAATAATGTGCAAAGAGATTACTTTTGCTGCCTTTCTTTTCTTAATTTTCCTCTTTTTTATCTAAGGACATTTCCCAGTGATGGGAAAATAATGATATACTAATCTGAGTCTATAAATTTATCTCTATCCACGAAAATGAAAACTGTCCTTTTACCTTAACCAAAACAAAAAGAATCCAAAAAATTGCCTCCGATAATGCACAAACATTGTAAGAAAAATTGGAGGGCCCGAGAAGCTCGGAAGATCAGCTGAATGAGTATTGGTTGGAGCTAGAGGGACAAAAAGTTAAAGCCATGCCCTTTCCTTCCTTTCCTAACAAAATTCCATAAAAATCCATAAACTTTATAACTTTTTTCATTTGGTCCAATGCTCCCAACACCCCTATCATCAGTCTATTTATCAACTAGCATTCCAACAACAATGATGCCTAATATGATCACCCCAGGATAACCCCCTATGCTTTTAAACTAAAATAGCTTGGCATGCGGCCTTCTATGAAACATCTGCACAATTTTAATTCAAGGTCTGAATTATCACTCCATGACAATAGTCTATATGCATATTCAAGATCTGTCCTAAAATAAGAAATCCTAAATTAAGGCACAAATAAATAAATCAATTCCAAAAATATTCCGTCCTTGCCTCACATAGGTATGAATGATGGATCCCCATCAGTTACTGCTATCCAACTAATTTCAAATACCCTTTAATAAAGTTTTTTCAATTCAATTACTAATAAAATAAGAAGTATGCACTCCTTACTCAATTGTTGATACCAATATATATAGGTAACCAATTTGTATGTGTGCTTTAGAAAATACAGCAAGTATTTCTTCTTTTTTCTGAAAAACCTTATGATACATTAACTTTCACTTACAATAAAAGTTACAAGACATACCGGTGAATTCACAAGTTGATTTTGGCTTAATAATGCCTATGTTCGGTCGCACGGAATATTTTTTTGGAGATGTAGTTTTAACCTGCCAAAAAATCCATTGATTATATTTCCACCCACCATTCCATTTAGAAAATGCAGCAATATTTCACTAGTACTACTCATGCGAATAAAACATGATTTGTTTGTACCTTAAACGCAACATGGTTGTTGGACTTATTGAAGAGTCGAACAGAGCACGTTGACTGCTTCTTCAATTCAACTATAAAAGAAAAAAAGGAATAATATTAGGGCATGTTATTCAAAAAGATTGCTTTAGATAACCAATTGTTAAGTGAACAAAGAGTATATATAAAATAAAATGTAATATGTACTAATATTAACAAAATCAAATGTATGGAATTGAGAGACTAGGAAAACAGATGATCGAGATTGATAAGACTCACATATGAACTTGAGTTCACGGGGATGAATTTCTAAAAGCTCTGCATTCATTGTTCTTCTTCTTCTTCTTCTTCTTCTTCTTCTTCTTCACAGAAACACTTTCAGAATCCCAAATTTCAGGGCACCTACGGATACTTGGATCTCTCAACCTGCAAATTCATACAAAACAACACAAATTCAAAATTAAAAACAGGGTCATCAAAAAAATCGAGAGACAAAGCGAGAGAGTACAATTTTTACTTTCAAAAAAAACACACACACACACACGCAAGGGATACACTTGAAAACCACAGTTTTGAGAATCTAGACTGCATCAAAAACCCAAAACTGATGGGTAAAGCGACAGAGAAGAGACGAAGACCGAGTCAACCAATAAAGACAATAGTGTCTGGATCATCGTCAGAAAGAGAAAGCAAACGCTTACTGGACTGGATTGGCCCTAAAATGAATTTGAAAGTGTAGGCTTTCGTATTCAGTTGAAACTCAAGTCTATGATTTCCACCGTTCCTGTTGTTGATCGCATATACACACACACATATATACGTATTTGGCCTTGGTTGAATCGAAGGAGAGAGAAACCCTATGGTATAGTATACCTGTAGAGAGAGAGAGAGAGAGAGAGAGAGAGAGAGAGTTTGTTTGTTTGTTTGTTTGTTTGTTTGGTGGTCTGAAAAAAACTGCAAAAAATGTGAAGTGGGCAGTGAAAGCGAAGCAATGAATGCGAGTTATGGTGTAGAGATTGTGGTGTCTGTTTGTCTACTGATCAGAGATAGAGTGCGTGGGGGGGTCTTATGGCGGTTGCACCGGCCGTTTTGGCTCTGCTCGGCTTAGCTGAAGCGGACGTTTCTGTTCTGGGTCGGCTTAGTTAAAGGAGGGAGGATGGATCGGGTAGAAAGATTCTAGAAAATAGAACAAATTTCACTTTACTTGTCCCGTAGAAATCATCATATAAATTTTATGTGATTTATAGATTAAAGTATATGATTAAATGTTTAGTTTAACTTAACAGTTAGTGCAAAATATATTACAGACATAAAAAAGTTATACGTTCATTTTTAAAATTTAAAAAAGTAAATTGCAGATAAAATAGATTATAAGGGACAAATTGTATTTTGCATTCTAAACAAATGATAAAAATATAAGAGTGTTTTAGTCTTTATCATTAAATCGTTAACAGACTTAACAGTGCAATTCAATCCATAAATCACAAGGGTTATGTGACTATTTCTAAACATTAAGGTAAACTGCACATGCCATAAATCAGAAGAGTAAAGTAAAGTGAAGTTTGTCCTATAAAATGTTTGAGATCCTAAAAAAATTCATAATTGGACTTATAATGATATGGCATGATATATGTCAACGCTTGATTTATTAAACACCCAATGATATGGGCTACTTGGGTGAATTTGTAAGTATAAAAGTATGAGTCTTTAACCTTGCTTAAAGATTATATTTGTTGTGAAAAAATTATTAGGTACTCCCGAAATGCCATGTATACATACTTTTTTATCAATTATTATTTATTATATCATTTTATATTTCTCAATCATTTAACACAAAATCATATGTTATTCCACATTTTTCCAATGATAATACTGTTGAGCAATCTGTATGTGCCACGTCATCAAAGAAACGTGAATTGCATGTATCATAGGGTGGGCAACGGATATACCGATCCGTCAAAACCGACCGAACCGAACCGATCCGCCACATTTTGGACGGATGCGTGATGACGAGCGGACGCCTGTGGATTGATTTTCTCCAATCCGCCAATTTGGCGAACGGATGGCGGATTTGAGGTTCCTTTAGCCGCAACCGAACCGCCAAACCGCGAGTACCCTTAGTAATTTATAAAATTTTGTGTTTTCAATTTGTTTAAATATTTTGTTTGTGTTTTAAATTGAAAAATAGTTCAAATATTCTGTTGAAAAAAAGTTTTCAACTTGAATATATTTTTTGAATTGAAAAACGTAAACTTATTATTTATCTATATTTTTTGGTTTTTAAATCTAACTCTAAAAGTAATAAATAGAAAATATGAAATATGCTGGTTGGTTTTAGTTTTCAAAACATATATAAATGTAACAATACAGAGACATACAATCTCAACTATTGCTCTGTTCATGGTTTTTGTGGTTTGAATTGTTTTTATATTTGAAGAACCACAGATTGTAATACTTTATGTGGATGAGGCATGCTGTGATTGTATATGTGGATGAGGCATGCAATGATTGTGATATTCTAAGTTTCAAACTTTCTTTCTTTGGATGAGGCATGTAGTAATTGTAATACTTTTTTAAGTCATTGACTGTAATACTTTCTCTTCTTCTTTTTTTTCTTTTTTTTTTTTAGGAAGTGCATAGGTTGAATTATGTTGAAAATTTATAAAATTTTAAACCGCCAAATCGATTCGCATCCATCCGCCAAACTGCCAATCCGCTCAATCCACATCCGCCGGATTGGCGGACGGATGCGGATTGATTTTCTTCAATCCGCCAATCTGGCGGACGGATGGCGGATTGGAGGTTCTGTGGCCGCAACCAACCCGCGCCCACCCCCATATATGCTCTAATTCAAGAATGTGAAATAAATAAAAAAAATAAGAAAATTAAATGCAAAGGATTAATTGCACCTAACGTTTTTCGGTAGTGCTACCCGCCTCAATTGATATACTAATTAAGGTATCAATATATCTTATGACATTGTCAATTTAAAATTATGATCACATTCATTAAACAAATTACAAAGATTTAAAATTTTTAAAATTATATTACATCATCTATTAATACATTATTTTTAGTGTACCAAATAATGCATATAGCATTATTAACACCTTTTGATAATTTTTTTAATTTTCACTTTAATTGCTTTACTTTTAATTATAATCGTTAAGATTTTATAACATTTTATAAAAAATATAACCATATCATAACATTCTTAAATTAATATGAGTGTTAATTTAATTTAGTATCATAACATTCTTAAATTAATATGAGTGTTAATTTAATTTAGTTTATTTATATGTATTCATATATATAAACATAAAATTATATTATATTATCTTCTTTTTTATATATCATTTTAACTCCAAAATAATAAACAAAAACATTACACATTAATTATTTCCAAACATAACTATGGCATGCAAACTGTGAGAATAGGATGTGAAAAAAAATGAAAAGAAAAGAAAAGGTGAAACTATCTCGTTTTAGGCACAATTGAAAACACAGCAGAGGTTCATAGTAGTGATCTGGTATCAAAAAATGAGATCCCAAAGTACAATTTGTTGGACAATTTTCACTGTATTTAAAAGATTTAATTCTATTGTATACACAACAACAATAAGAATTTAAAGAAATAAAGAAAATGAGAGAATTTATTTGATTACAAAAATCAAACTCGAAATAAAAATAAATAAATAAAACCACAGATTTTATTTTGTTACAAAAACAAAAATAAAATCTGATTAAATAAACAAATAAAAAACAAAATAAAATTAAACAACTTACTTGGTTAATTTATTTGAATAACTTTTCTGATCAAGTCCAGTGTTTAACACTGTGTCCTTAAGACAGATTCGTCCTCTCCACGGTGCTTTCAGAATTTGGACGTCTATCTCCCAGGATGAAATGATCTTTACCACAAACAATAGCAGCACTACAAATGTTTGCCTTCGAACGCACTAAGTTTTCACTCTTTCTTTCGGAAATAAAATACACAAGATGGAGAATATAATTTGCAGGGGATGGAGTACGAAAATTGGAATGAAATCCAAATGGGAGGCTAGTCTATTTATAGATGTAAAGGTGGCTTTTGGTTTTGAATTGAACGGTATGAAACCTGTTGATTCAAATTTAAACAGATTTGAATCTGTTTATTTCAAACAGATAGAACGGAAAGGCTCTGTTTGGATGAGCAATAAATCCAAACAGTTTAATATCTGTTTGAAAACGGGAAGGGCTCTGTTTGGATGTCCAAAACAGTTTAATTTGTTTGAAAAAGGGAAGGCCCCTGTTTGGATGAACAATAAATCCAAACCAGTTTAATTTGAATTTTGGACATGCACCCGCGCCCAAGCCCAGCCCAGCCCGCCGACCTGGACGGCAGCGGCGCGCGCGCGCGTGTGGTGATTTTTGGGTCCAATGGGTCTAGCCATTTTGTCATAGCCTCTCCTCTAAAACACTTGGGTACCCTTGGGGCACCACCCCAGTAATCTTACCCTAAGCCTTATAAACTCTTTTAAACTTCCCACGCAATCAATGTGGGACAAGCCAATTTACCCACTTAAGTAATTTCCACCAACTCCATTTCTATGGAGCACACTTTGGCTTCAATTTCCATTCACTCGGTAATGTTTTAAGCAACCAAATTACCACGTGAATCAACACGCGGCATAGAGAACGCGTTACCACTTTTGACCCGAGTAAATCGACGCTCGGGCACCTAACTAAAAAAATAAACGCGAACTTAGGAAAAAATTTCTGGTTTTATCCAGAATTTTATAACCTTTCTAACAATCCCCCACATGATGGATTTGAATGACAAAGGAAATGCAACAATATGCAGACTATAACGAAAGAGTATAAGTCGAAAATATCTTGCATCAGGATAGGTAGTTTTCGGCCTTGACCTTCCCTAGTGATAACCTATCGACTTACTGGCTAACCAATGGACGCGATGCCTTAAATTGTTCAGCCGTTTGTGTAAGCCAAGACAATAGATCTACACAAATATCTTCAACACATCGTGGTTCTGCACTGTTGTGTTCTTTTGGCCTTGAACGCGCCTGGTTTCATAAAGTGTTTCTAGAGAATTTAGCCTCTTCATTCTCATGAACCGGCCCCAGTTCAACACACTCATATAGGTGATTCTTATTGTGAGTATTCTCCTTTATAACTCGTCTTGATTTTATACCTTAATCAAGATATAAGTAATCATTAAAAGCAAAGCTTTATCCTTATACCCCTGATTACAACATATGTTGCAGATATCACTCTCACCATAGGAATGGGTAGGGAATTTTTTAATCCCTTGGTGATTTCTGGTGAGCCATACATAACTTAGTTGTCCCTTTGAACTTAGTTCTTGGGATCTCCAGTCAATATAAGTAGGGTTAACCATTATGACGACTCTTTGTTAATAGGCTTAATCCTATCCCCTTTGATGAACTATACACTAGCTCTTTTTGTCAAACCATTTGTTTAAAGCGGATCCGCAATATCTCTTTAAGATTTTTATATAATCTATTGAGATTATTCGTTTGGACAACAATTGCCTTAACGGTATTATGTCGACGAGAATATGTCGTGACTTACCATTATACATGTGATTCTGTGCCTGCCTACTTGGCAGATTGACATATCACAATGAATGGCAAATAGCTGGCACAGGTTTGGCCACATTGGAATGTCCTTCTAAAGAAGTGACGAGCCATTCTGCTTCTTCACCTGGCTTTGTCTAACAGCAATACTCGTTATCCATTGTGGATCGTGCGATGCAAAGTTGTTTCGTGGACTTCCAAGAAACAGTAGCGGCTCCTAAGAGTAAAAACATACCTACTAACCGTGGATTTTTAAATCTTTAGTATCCCGATATTCCAATTGGCATCACAATAACCTTCAGTCTGCTGGATATCGAGTAAAGTTCAAATCATGATGCACGAGTAAATCAAATAGATATCTAGAACACGAATGATCGCTTTCCAATGGTCTTCTCCAGGATTACTAGTGTACCTACTCAACTTTTGATAGCATAAGCTTATCAGGACGAGTACAATTCATTAGGTACATTAGGCTTTCAATGATTTGGGAGTATTTTAACTGAGACACTGATCTCCTTTATTTTTTGATAAATAAACGACTGATGGTCTAATTGTGTTCTAAGCTAAA